GATGGCACCTAACGTAAAGATGTCTCAAGCCTTATCTTCTAGAAAATTCAAGCAAGTATTTATATGATTGATTTATTCGACAAGTCTTGAAGTTTCAAAGTATGAAAGAGAGGAAGTGTGAAAGCTCACCCAATCGCATCTGAGTGAACTATATTTTGTAAGAACACAAGGACATTCTCATAAAGTTATATGCCTAAATCACACGCACATGCACACGCATGCAACCGCGCGCACACACATACACATGTTTTAAAGCCTCCATTTTTCAAACAAAACATCACAAAAATATTTTGAAATTATGTAAGAGAAATCAGAAACTGTCAGAATAGTTTTGAATTGTCGAATCAATTAGAACATACTCAATTGATTAGGTTAGTACAAAGGATGTCCATAAACAATTGTGACAGAGTCTTAATGAAAGGAAACATCTATGTATCTATTCTTTCAAAATTGAGTCACTGCAAACAATTATTTGAGGCTCCCAATTGATAGGAACATTTATTTTGGTCCTTGGATCTTTCATTTTTATGACAACTCTAACTATAAATAGAGGTATCTCCCTTCACATTTTCACATCGAGAAAACGTGCTCTCTCTCTCTCTCTATCTATCTATCTATCTATCTATCTATCTATCTATCTATCTATCTATCTATCTATCTATATATATATATATATATATATATATATATATATATATATATATATATATATATATATATATATATATATATATATATATATATATATATATATATATATATATATATATATATATATATATATATATATATATATATATATATATATATATATATATATATATATATATATATATATATATATATATATATATATATATATATATATATATATATATATATATATATATATATATATATATATATATATATATATATATATATATATATATATATATATATATATAAGGGAGTGTTTGTTTGGTTTCAAAGTTAAATTCGTTAAAAGTTTTGTTTGGGGATTTATTTTTAAGTCGCCGGTTCGATTCGTAAGTTCGACCTGTGTAAAAGCTTACTTTGATTTCAAGATCATCCCATTATAAAATCCCAACTTGGTTTGTGGTCAACCTGTATAAAATCCTAGTTTGGTTCGAGAATACTTTGGTCTAAAATTTCAATTCAGTTTGTGGTTAGCCCGTGTAAAACTATGATTCAGTTCAGAGGATAACCAGTTCGAAATAAGTCTTTAAAAAATCTCGATTTAATTTAGGGACTAACCACTTCAAGTTCGTGTTTGAAAGGAAGACTAACTGCTTCTCTCCATTGTTTGTGTATGAAAGGAAGAACGCTTATCTGCGTTTTTCGTTGTTTGGTTGAAAGTAAGCCTGAAATTTTATTTTTCTTTGTATAAGGCGGTTCAAGAGTTTTACTTACTAAATGCTCTTAAGCATTACTAGATACTCTTAAGATCAAATCTAGAGAACAAGATTATGTCTTCTTGATCGAACATGTATAATTCTCTGGTGTCATTTTTCTTACCCTTAACTCTTTATTTTTTTGCTTATTTATTTGTTTACCTATTACTCAAACATTTTTACTAAATGTTTTTAACCTCCGAAAATGATAACAATAAAATTTTAAACTACCATTTTTTTAAATTCCCACAATTCACACGCCTCTTTCCTCTCTTGTGTGTGAAGTCATGTATTCAATATATAGGTGAAAATACTAGTTCACATTTTGATTGTAATCTTCAGGGAGTTTTTCTCGTATAACAATTAATAACCTCTCCTTATGTGATTGCTACGCATGGTAAGGTGTTAGCCAACTAGATATACGTTTTTATTAGGGAGACCATGTGTCCTTGTAAATATCTATGTGCTTACGATGAGATCATATAATGCAGAATTCAAAATAGGGTTATATGCCTACACATAGTTATCTTCGAGTTCGTAGTTTTATCTTTAAGTAGATTCACATATAATTGGTTATAGTTCATTACTCTTTTTAAAAACTTCGCTTAATACATATAAAGAATATTTCTTATCTTTCTTATGAACACGAGAATTTATCAAAATACTCAAAGTATATGTAATTTTTCAAATTCTAATTGTTTAAAAAGTGTATAAATTGTATAATAAATTATTCATTCGTATCAACTAGCAGTGAGATTGTAGGTACTACGTTTGTAAGGATTGAGTAGAGGTATTGCTCTCCGTTCAACATTCGTAATCATTTTTTAGATTTGGCATAAATGGTTAATCGCCGCAAGAGATAAACATTATATCATTAATCATGTTCATTTGTAAAGATCGACTAAGATTTTTTTCTATGTTTTATATTGTGATTTTCCATCACAAATCATCCCGAATGGACCAGGTTGTAGGTCGGATCCAGCAGAACCTATCATCCCGAGTGGACCAGGTTGTAGGTCGGATCCAGCAGAACCTGTTCTAAATGATAGCTCATCAATCAGAGTAGGGTCAGGTTGAGACTGTTAATGGGATATGTTAATCATGTTGGTCGAAAACATATCGAGAAAATATTTAGATTAAGATACGAGGCATAACACATTTATGGGTGATTTAAAGTATTATGTCCTAAGATTCAACAATCAAGTCTGATTGTCAATTACCATTAAAAAATCACACTAAACAAAAACAATCACCTTAATCATATGCTTATATATAATTAAAGTTAAGTTCATAATTTTATCTTATCTTTATGCGAGATCACATATAATTTGCCTTAAGAGATAAGGAACATTATGTACAGCTTATTTAAGAGAAACACCTCTTGTGAGTGTAATTAAAGTCAACATGTCAATTTCATTACTCGTTTTAAAAATTTTGCTTAATACATATAAAGTTTCATATCTTATGAACATACATATTTCTCAAAATGTTCAAAGTAACAATGTTAAATGTAATTCCCCTACTCTAATTGTTTATAGAAGTGTATAAATTATCAAATAAATTATTATGATTTTTAACACGTGTAATTGTCTTTTAATCTCCTTCTCAAATTTTATCTAGAGAATATTCATGTACATGTTTGGTATCTCGGTAGACCGCAGGAACATATTTTGTCTTTTAATCTCCTTCTCTAATTTTATCTAGAGAATATTCATGTACATGTTTGGTATCTCGGTAGACCGCAAGAACATATTTTGTCCTTACGTGACTCATGTTTGAAGAGTTATGTATATTTCTGATCTAGAGAATATTCATGTACATGTTTGGTATCTCAGTAGACCACATGAACATATTTCGTCCTTACGTGACTCATGCTTGAAGAGTTATGTATATTTCTGATCTATAAGTAGATCTTAGGGAAACACTTAGCTCATTCGTGACTCATACTTGAGGAGTTATGTACATATCAGATCTATTTGGTCTAGTCATCCCGAATCAAACGAAATGTAGCCCAAATCCAATATAACCCACCTCAAATTGTAGCACATCCAACAAAACATGGTCGAATTGAGGCAGATCCAATATAACCCACCCCAAATTGAATTGAGGCAGCTGATAAGCCAGGTTGATCACATTGGCCCAAAAATTGTGCAGAGAGAATATTTGGATTAAGATACGAATTGAAAGCATTATGACCTATAATCTGATAAAGTTTAATTGTCAATTACCATTGAAAAATCACACTAGTTAAAAGACATACCCTAAATGCTCTTTGATGGATCTTAAGTACAAAATATGTCTGAACTACTATATAAGGAGATGATCACAAAAATAAATATGAGCATCCGACTTTACTAAACCTCGTTAGGGCAAAATGTGTCATTTCATACAGGGTGGACGATAAGATTAATCCCTTTGACCTAATCAGAAAAGATTAATCTCTTTCAACTAATAGGTCTTAGTTCAAATACCTAATTCTTTTATTAAAATAAAACTCCCCTAAGTTATACAAAAGCTATAGAACATAAATTTAAGATAATAAGCATAATTTTTTTTAATAAATATAGCCGATGAATAAAATGAGATTCAAATCTAAGATATCCCATTTATTTTCTTTCAAGAGATGAAATTTCACCCGTTAGATTACTTAAAAAAAATCAACAAAACTTAACTAAGGTAAACTAAATGAGTAGAAATGTTCTTGACAAAAAAAAAAGATGAGTAGAAATGTTAGGTAGGAACATTCCTTGCCCCAAATATGAATTGAATGTACACAAAAAAATACTCAAATTCATTCATCAACCATAGTTCAAAACCTCTTTAGGTGCATTTTTCTACTAGTCTCATTTGAAATGATGTTCTCCCAATTCCCCTTAGCTAAATTCCTTGAAAAAGACGTTTGAGCAACCTTGCCCAATTTATAGGCTAGGCTAGGAAATTGTAAGAGTAACAGTTTACTTTCAAATAAGATACAGAAAATACACTTGAAACACATGTGTACTAGAAATGGAGGGTGTAAAATAACCTCAAATGTTGAACATAACAAATATTAGTTGTGCAGTACAAAGTAGGTTTATTCAAAAAGAAATTCAAGGCCCAAAAGGATGTTACTTGGTAATGGTGTGTACAGAAAACCTACATCTACAACCCCTACATAGATAAATAAGCAGTAATTATGCAAAAGAGACTAATAAAAACATTACTTACTAAAATCATCTCCAAATGGCATGAATACCACATTTAAACAGTTAACAGTTAGTAGTTTTCTGCTCAACTCAAGTACACAACCAACCACATTATTATCATTAATGTAAGGGAGGATAATCAAGAATTTGTTGTTCCTTATAATAATACTTCACTGGTTTGATGTCCATCACTCCATGTTTTAAGCAAGAAACTTACTTCTAAAACTGCATGAGTAGTTTCGTTTTTGCAAAAAGGTTTTGAAAATTTTGAAACAAGGTTCATAACATAAACAAGATAGTAGTAATTGACTTAATCAAGCACTTCAACATACATAATCTTGTCTTTTAAGTTTCACATAAAACCCCATAAAGGATACAATACGTCTACAAGGTGACCTAGATATATAAATAACCACTTAAATTAATAGCGACTAACCAAGAAAAAGTCGTTGTCATCAAGAACCTGAACGTCTTGAGTTCCAACAAAATGCTGTCGACCAATTTCCTTCACCAAATTGGCAAATTCTATCCTTTTCTCCAAAGGGAGAGGTACAAATGGCAGCCTGAAAACTGGCCTGACAACTCCAAGTTGAGCAAGAGCCGTGTTCAAACCAATGGGATTTGGCATTTGGAAAAGCCAGCCAATCAAAGGCAAGAGCTTAGAACTCAATGCAGGATTTTTCCCCCCAAACATGAGTTCGTGCATTAAGCCAGGAATCAGGTTGCTTGCAACAGATACCACTCCAGTAGCTCCGTAGCCCCATCTAGCATCATGGCATTCATCATCGTTCCCACTCCACACAACAATTTTATTATCAGTATACTCTTTGATCCGGTCATTTCCCACACATTCCTTGACACCAGCTAAGCAAGTACTTTGAGCTAAGTTTTTAATCACGTGTGGAGGAATGTCTTGACCAGTCCGCGAAGGCACGTTATATATGATTGTGGGTCCCATGGAAAGCACACTTTGAAAGTGTGCAACTATACCATCCAAGGAGGTTTTTCCGTAGTAAGGATTTATATGAAGGGCAGCATGCATTCCAACAGCAAAACCTTGTTCTGTGGCATGAATTGCTTCCCTGGTTGAGTTACTTCCAGTATTTCCAATAACCTTAATATTCCCACCAAAACAGTTGACAGTGTGCGCAATAAGCATTATGTGTTCTTCCCAGCTCATTAGTTGCCCTTCACCAGTCGTGCCACCAACAATAACACCTTCAACTCCATTCTCAATCTGCGTATTTACCAAGGCATCATATGCTTCAAGATCAAATCGACCATCAGGTAGGTATGGAGTTTTAATGGCAGTTATCAATCTCAGACACTTTATGTCCTCAGTACAAGTTCTGTAAATACAATATATAGCTTCATTAGTACATATTGTTTAATCCAGGATCACAAACAAAAGCAGCAAAAACACAAACACACAGAGCATAAATTCTAGTTCTTTCCAATCTACACAACACAGACATATCATCAACCAGAAAAATGAAACGATGAAAAACAAATGGAAAATATAGAATTTAGAACAGTAAATTCAATACCTATTCTTCATCTCATAACTACGCATTGGGAGGTGGAAAGTGGTTTTCACAGCTGCTTGTGTAGGCTTCCAGCAAGAGCTCCTGAACAATACAGACAAATGTTAACATTAAACGGTTTAAACCTACAAAGATTTGGATCAATCATTGATGGTCCGCGCAATCAATCACAAGCTTCAGAAATGCAAAGAAAGAAATACACTCTCTCAATATAAATCTCGGCCATACAACATAAATGAATGATCAACGATCATATGTCTCAACCTTAACACAAGAACCGGTGAAACAAACACACTAATCAGTAAAACAAAGTAACAAACCTACAAATTGTGGTTATTTCAAACTTCAACCGACCAAAGTCGCGAAAGCCTGATCGGCTAAAGACAGTTTTTTAAACCTTGATATCAGCTAGTAATAAAAAACCTCACCAAACACAAATTCAGCCACAACCCACACGTGCAGGTAAACAAATCAAAACAGAACAAAAATGATTAAAAAAAATAAAAATAAACCCAACAAACATGCATAAATGAAAGAAAAAAAAAACATGCATAAATCAAAACAGAACAAAAATGATTAAAAAAAATAAAAATAAACCCAGCAAACATGCATAAATACACACTGCAATCATTCAATTTCAAAATCAGGCAAATCAACAACCAAATTCCTCACATAAAAAAAAGAATTTTTAGACCTAGTGTTTTTGTTACTAGTAGTAACATTGGAAAGCGGAAAAGCGGATCCTGTGAAGCAAACACCAGTACAGGTCTTCAATGTAGCCATGAGAAACTTGGAATCCGAATCAGATGAGAATTTGATGTGGTAAGGGTAAAATCTAGAAACCCTAGAAGTGTGATTGAAAACGGCGTCGGTTTGAGTGTTGAGATGGTGGTGAAAAGTTGGCAATGTGGAAGAGAAGAGTGAAGCTAGCTGCGGCTGCGAATACTGCGTGTGTGAGTGTGACTGTGACCTTGTGAGTTGATTAAATTTATAAAATGTTTCAATTTAATTTTTTTTTAATTATTTTAAATGTTTCAATTTAATCTTTGCTTTTAAAAAGTTAGAGACTAATATTATAAAAAAAAAAAAAAAAAAATTGTGTGTAGTGAGAGTGAGAGTGACAGTGTAATTGTACAATGTAGATTAGTAATAATCATTAATTTTATATCTTTTAATCATATTTTACGAACAATTGTGATATATGGATGGGGTAAAACATGATGCATATCAATTAATCTTAAAAAATATGTATTTAGTTGATAAATGTTATATATTAAATTAGTTTTATTTTTAAATAATTATTTTTTTTATTTTATTTAGTCCTACAATTATTAAAAATATGTGTATATTTATTCAATAAATAAATAAAAATATGTATATAATTTTTGAATTATTTATAATTGCTTAACTTTAATTTTAAATTATCATTCTTACTTTTTATTTTAAAGTAGTTGTTGTTTAATTATATTTTGAGTTTAATAGATATATATTCTCGGTATAAAGAAATTTTAGGGATGTATATAGTTTGGATAAACCCACAAAATTCAATCGGACTCATTTAAATCAATTCAAAAAAGTGGATTTGAACGAGTAAGTGAGTAAATATAGTTTTTGAAAATGAAAAATCATTTGGGTTTTAGATAAAATCCAGAACCAACCCACAAAAGCCACTCAACCAACTGAATCTAAAAAAATTACCATTAATTGCTATATATTTTTGTTTTTTAAATTTCTTAATGACTTGATATATTAACTAATATTTCTATATGTATCATCAGAATTTGGTTGAAAATATTAATGTTGAAATCAAGACTTTTTTTTAATTGTGAAATATATTTGAACAATGTTCTTTACTCTACTTTTGTAAGTCGTGATTTTGAATTATTTATGATATTGCACTTTGATTACTTTGATGCGAATACTAGTAAGTTATGAATAATTTATGTAATTCTAGTTATATGTGCTACCATAATACAACATTGATTTTTGCAAATATTTTTATTATAAATTTTATAAATTTTAGAAATTTTAGATATTTAATGTTAAAAGAATAATGTTAATATGGCTAAAAGTTTGTTCAAGAAAAAAGTTGTTGAAGCATTTTTAGAAAAACAATATGACACATCATTTATAATTATATAAAGAAAAAAAAAAGGGGGGGGGGGGGGGGGGGGGGGGGGGAAATTAGGTGACCTACTACCCAACCCACAAATTTATGGAGAATTTCATATAGCACTCTTAATACTTTTAATGTACCATGTGAAATTTCATAAATGTCTCATGTTTTCGGGGATATATCTCCAGACGCACCCAAACGTAAGTGAACGTTGAAATATTCTAGAGATATATCTCTAGAACATTTTGAAGTATAAGTCGCGTCAAACTCTTCTCCTTCCTCATTTCACATTTTTCTTCAAACTCAACACAACCTTCTTCTCAATACAACCCTCTACACCAAATCAAATTCCATCTAACGAAGGTCAAAAAAATTCAAAGGAACATCAAAGATTATCTCTAATATTAGGAACAACATCTGAATCATCAATTTTAAGTAAATTTTTTGAAATTTTGGTAAATGTTCAAGTTTTAGTGTAAACGGGTAAGAATCAATTATTAGAGTTAGAAATGTGTAGAAATCACATCTAACATAGTTTAGACTTAGTGTGTAACTTGTATGTTGGATGAAAATGGCAGTCAAAACATTTTTTCTTCAGCTTTTACGAGGTACCTTCGTCATTGACGCGACCTCTGTGTTGCAGAACATTCAGAGATACATCTATAGAATTGTTCAGCGTTTTATATACTTTGGAAAATTTTGGAAATGCATCTTCGGAATTGTTCAACGTTATAGTTTTATGGTGTTTCTGGAGATGCATCTCTGAAATTATTCAGCGTTATAGTTTTATGGTATTTCCAGAGATGCATCTCTGGAATTTCTTGCAGTATGTTTTTTTTAAATTATTGCTCGTGTATGTTGTATGTGTGCACTAATGATATGCCTTACTTTACCTTATAAGTATAATGGCTGACTGAGTTAACAGACTGAGACATGACAGGGTTGCTCAGCACACATTCGTTCGGTGAGAAAGGAGCCAACAGGTTTTGAAGGCTCTAGTACCTCTGGTTAGGAAGAGGCACCGACTTCTAGGGTGCCGTCTACTTCTAGGACTCGTGTTTCACCTCAGGCCACTCCATATTCTTCTTCTTCCCTTAGGAGACGAGATTCATCATCTAAAATGTCACTTTCCCCATCTTCCTGCAGTCATCAGGATTCACCAGTGCCACCTCCTACGGATGATGCTGTTGTTCCATACCCACCTCTCATCTTGATCCAGTGCCATCTTCGGAGGGTGTGGTTATTGTGGATGTCAAGCCAAAGGGTTTTTGAGGAGATCCATATGATTTGTCCTTACTTCCTATGTATCTAAACCACACCGCCAAACATATCTGAGATAGAGAGGTAACATTAGTTGGGTTCTTTATTTTTTTTAATGCGTTAATTTTAATTGTTAACATTGATAATTTTTGAAATTGATTATTTATGAAAATTTTGAAGAGCGTGATCCCAAGAAGTTTCTTAACTACGGGAAGAGGATTGTCGCATTGCCTCAGCAGGAGGCAGATTAGTTTCAGTCGGTTTTGACCTTATCTAGTCTGAAGGACCTATGCATAACCAGTTACACTCTGATCAACCACGGGATGCTTAATACATTCGTGTAGAGATGACACTTTGAGACCTCTTTTCATCTCCCGTATGTTGAGATGTCTATCACACTCGACAATGTTTCGTGTTCGTTACAAAGACGGGGCAGTCGAGATGATGGTAGAGCTTTTGGGGGCTGATCTAGAGAAAGCGATAAAGGATGTAGATAGGACCAGGGTTGCTCAGGCTAGATTTGAGTTCCTGAAGAACATATATGATGATGAGATCCTTAGGACACAATAGGCTCATGGTGATGGTAAGTAGGTGGCGGTACACAAGACTCGTGCTTTGAGGGCATACTTTCTTTTTTTATTGGCACTTGCATTTTCGTGGGCACGAGAGTCACTTATACTGACGTTGCATACCTATGATACTTCTTGGATCTCACTCAAATCCATGAGTATAACTAGGGGGCAGATTTCCTGGCCTATCTTTATTCGAAGTTGAGAGAGGGATGTCGGTGGAAGACGAAGCAGGTCACAGGCAGCTCGGCACTACTGGTGGTAATATTTCTTGATCTTTGAATATTTTTTTTTATCATTTTCATTTCATATTTGCGAAACCATTACTGATGATTCATTTGTTCCAAACTTTTTTTCCATGCTTGGATCTTCCAACACTTCCTGCGCATTGTCGGCTGTACGAGTGTGGCTGAGTACACTAAGGATATGTCACGTACATGTGCTTTTATCTCGCTTAGAAGGAACTAGGAGGTCGAGCCTTTCACAGTCTATCTTGACCGTTTGGTTGTTGAGGACATGCACTTCAACAGCTACGTGGATCACCGTCATATTCGGCCATTTGACGAGATAATGTTATACTCCAGATGATTGGCCTGTGGATCGCGTATTACTACTCATCATATTCCCGAGCACGTCATGCGACAGTTTGAGTACACCTAGACCATCCGCAGATACCCTGTTGTCTCTGCTTCTTTTGCCTTGACTCGTAGACAGATATATGAGATATTCGTAGATTATGAGAGTCATCTGGTACCGGAGGAGACACGAGATACTATAGCCTCGAACGATTGGAGTTATGTCGAGGGGTACATCAGATGGCTCTTCAGGGTGTCACATCCGTACATGGTGCATGTTGTTCCAGGAGATCCACCGATACCAACTCATCAAAAGATACTAGAGGAGAAGCAGGCTCAGCAAGATCATATGAATGATGTCTTGCCTAAGTGTCGTTGCAAAGTAGAGATTGCGCCGACAGGAATTGACTAGGGTATCTTCTCTTATGGGTTTGGTGTCAGGCGAGTCTTGGATGCCATCATGGAAGAGGCGTATGAGGCACCGTTGTATCAAAGACATTGCCGAAGGACGGGGAGATTGATGGTCGATGAGGCATAGCAGACATAAGAGATGTTGTTAGACACACACAGTAGTAGTCAGATGTTATTTTCTTGTAGTACTATACTCTCTATTTTATTTTTACGATTTTATTACATTTTGGATCTAGATTGTACGATATTTTCTACATATATTTCTATTTTATTTTTGACACACCCAATATTAGTATTTTATTTTTTGTACGTTTATTTTTTTGGAGCGTGCTTCATACTTCATCTGAAAACAAATACACAACTTATAGTGAAAAACACTTGTTATGATACACTTCAGAGATGTATCTCCGAAATATTACTGGAGATGAATCTCCGGAACAATTCAAATGTAAATGACTTCTAAGTGACATGTTTCTAATATTTAAAATGATTATGGAGATGTATCTCTGGAACATGCCAACGTTTATTCAGAAATAGGTGCGTCTGGAGATGTATCTCCGAAATCTATGGGCATTTAAATAATTTCACTTGGTGCCTAAGAACTACCTAGGGTGCATTAAGAAATTCTCAATTTATGGTTTTATCCAAACCGACCTAATGATGTTGTGGATGATTATTTTACCTCATCCATACTGGTATACTTTATGTGGGTTGGGTTTTGGTTTTAGACAAACTCAGCCCAAACTGATTCATGTACACCCTTAGAAATTATACACGGTCGTTCAATAAGTAATCATTAATCTGTTAATTCATCTAAGTCGTTTTAAATTATTATAATATGGTGGGATATAC